AGATAAAACTCTCGATTGAATTCTACAGAGGCTTTTTTGGCCTGGAATTTATGTGGCGGTCCAATGATATTGTGCCTCCTGTCCTGAATGCCAATTACATGGCCCCCGACCACACATAAGGGCCCCTTTGGTACCTCTGCTGATTATCGAAGTCCCATTCGAGCGAATAGCTATAGACCTAGTAGGCCCACTAGAGAAATCAGCCCGGGGCCATCAGCACATACTGATTATGCTAGATTATGCCACCCGATACCCCGAGGCCATACTCCTATGAAACACCATGTCCAATACCATAGCTAAGGAATTAATCCATATTTTTTTCTAGAGTAGGGATACCCAAAGAGATCCTGATGGATCAAGGAACCCCCTTTATGTCTAAATTAATGAAGGATTTGTGTGCAATGCTCCACATACGGACCGAAGAACATCAGTCTATCATCTGCAGACTGATGGTCTCATTGAACGCTTTAACAGAACATTAAAGAACATGATACGAAAGGTGGTGAGCCAGGACGGGAAGAACTGGGACACCCTGCTGCCGTACCTAATGTTTGCTATAAGGGAGGTTCCTCAGACTTCAACTGGGTTTTCCCCATTCGAGCCACCCCCGTGGCATATTGGACATTGCCAAAGAGGGTTGGGAACAACAGCCGAACTCAGGGAAAAATATCATCGAGCATGTGTTGCAGATGAAAGACAGGATAGCCCAAGTCACCCCCCCCATACTGTGGAAACACAGAGAGGGTGCAAGGGGTCCAACAGACATATTACAATCACCGAGAAACAATCCGAAAATTCCAGGCGGGAGATAGGGTAATGGTGTTTGTACCCACAGACAAGAACAAGCTCCTGGCCAGGTGGCAGGGGCCATACGAGATAATAGAAACCATTGGAGAGGTCAACTATAAGGTCTGACAGCCTGGTTGCTGGAAACTGGAACAGATCTATCATATAAACCTGTTGAAACCTTGGCAAGACAGAGAAGCTCATGTGGTCACTCTAAGGTTGCCACCCCCCAAAAGCAACCGGTACGGCCAAGTGGGAATATCCCCGAAATTGACCCCTGTCCAATGAACTGAAGTGATCAACATGATCAAACACAACCATAGTTTTGGGTATTCTCAGAAAAGCCAGGCAGGACTACCGAGGTTCACCATCACACCCTCACAGAGTCTGGAGTGAAGGTGAATGTCAAGCCATACCGAATCCCAGAGGTGAAAAGAGAAGAGATCAAGACAGAAGTCAGGAAAATGCTGAAGTTAGGAGTCATTGAAGAGTCTCATAGCCAATGGTCTAGTCCAGTTGTCCTAGTACCTAAGCCTGATGGCAGTATGAAGTTCTGCAACGACTTCCGGAAACTGAATGAAGTGTCCCAATTAATGCGTATCCTATACCCCGGATAGATGAGCTAATTGACAAATTGTGAAAAGCACGATTTTTGTCCACCCTTGACCGGATCAAAGGTTATTGGCAAATCCCCCTGGCCATCGCCAACAAAGAGAAGACACCAGAGGGACTGTATCAGTACACTGTCCTCCCTTTTGGTTTACATGGGGCTCCCGCAACTTTCCAACGACACATGGACAAGCTGTTGCGTCCACATGGCAAGTATGCGGCCTCCTATCTCAATGTCATTATACATAGCCCAGACTGGGAGAGGCACTTGGAGAAGGTGGAAGCAGTCCTGGACACACTGAGGAAGGTGGTGCTAACTGCAAATCCCTCCAAATGCAAGATTGGGCTAGCAGAAGCCAAATACCTCGGGTATATCATGGGGAGGGGTATGGTGAAGCCCCAACTGAACAAGTTAGAGGCAATACAGAATTGGCCCCAACCAGTCCGGAAGAAACAGGTCAAAGCATTCCTGGGACTAACTGGATACTATCGGCGGTTCATCCCCCAACTTTGCCACCAGGGCATGTCTGTTAACAGAGCTAACAAAAGCTCGGGGCTCAGACATAGTAAGATGGACCAGCGCGGCCAAGGAGGCTTTTGCAGATCTGTGGACCACCCTCTGCACCGACCCAGTGCTGGTAGCTCCAGACTTTGAGAAGGAGTTTATGGTACAAACCGATGCCGTTGGGTTGGGTTGGGAGCGGTCCTTTCACAAATGGTCGGAGAAGAACACCCAGTCCTGTTCCTCAGTAGCCGTAGTAGAGAAGGAATGCCTGGCAGTCAAGTGGGCCATAGAAAGCCTTCGCTACTACCTACTCAGGTGGAGGTTTACCCTCGTCACGGATCACGCCCCTCTGAAGTGGATGCACCAAAACAAAGAAAGAAACAAAAGAGTAACAAGGTGGTTCCTGTTGCTACAATCCTTCCCCTTCAGAATACAACATAGGTCCGGAATCAAGCATGGCAATGCTGATGGCCTATCAAGGGTGCACTGTTTGCCGACCCAAGTAGCCCAACCCCGGGGTGTGGAGCGGGGGGGGGGGGGGGGGGGGGGGGGGGATATGTGATAAACTCAGGACAGATGGCTGCAGGGGTGGGGGGTAGAAAACAGTCCCAAAAGGTTAACAGGCCCTCCTCCCTATCAACTGAGGAGGGGTGACTACAGGTCAATCAGGTTCACCTGAGAAGAGGGTTATCAGAGATTAGGATCAGCTGAGAGGGAGTTACTTGAGGTCAATTAGGATCAGCTGATTCCAACTAAGGGCTGCCTGAGACCTTTTTAAACCCTCCCCTGTTGGGAGAAGAGGGAGAGAGAGAAGGAGTCAAGCTGCCAGTAGGTGAGGAGCCGCAAGACAGCGAGCCTCACCAGGAGGGGAGGCTGCATTCCCTCCCATAAGGGAGAAAAACAAGCCCTAAAGACTGGCTGAGAAGGATGGACTGCCCCTGTGCAGCCCAGAGGGACTATTTTACCCCAAGCCCGTCTCACCAAGGTTAAAAACAGCTGAGTTTGGTGAGACCGAGAAGGTGCCTTGCCACAACACATATAACTTGTTAACTGCTGTCTGTATAAATGCATGTGGAGAAAGAGAGAGCATCAATCTGGCTGAGGTGGGAAAGAAAGACATCACTGTGAGATTTCATAGGGAGATGGGCTTCAATGGAAGTTAGGAGGAGCAAACGGAATTCCCACACAGGCATTTGCAGGGTCTGTCCACCAGTCTAGAGAGGCCAAGATTTGTGTGGGTACCCGAACTAACATGTCTAGAGGCTGTACTGATGCCAGCCCCTTTGCAGTTTCCTAAGATGAAGCCTGGCAGCTGAACTACATATGTGCATGAGGCCACATGGCCTAGAAGCTTGAGGCAATTTGAAACTGTTGTGGTAGGATGGTCCCTCAGGTCCAAAAAGAAGGGCCAGCATCATCTGGAATCTTAGCTGTGGCAGGAAGGCTTTAGCTTCCGTTGAGTCCAAGAGAGCTTGTAGAAACTCTCTCCTTTGTACAGATGACAGGATTGACTTCACTGTGTTGAAGAGCAAGTTGAATGTGTCCAAGGTGGACTGGATGACTGACATGCTGGACAATACCTGAGGCATGGACCTTCCTCTCACCAACCAGTCACCCAGGCAAGGAAACACTTGAACTCCTGACTTCCTCAGGAATGCTGCCACCACTGCTACACACTTTGTGAACGCACGTGGGGCTGCAGGCAGCCCCCAAGCAAAGGGTAGGATCAGAGGGTGAGGCTTCATGATGCGGTGTGTCTAATGCCCTGGATTGCCTTAATCCAGAAGGGGAGCTTGGAGAGTGCCTAGAGGGGAGCTGAATTCCTGCCAACCCAGGCGGAGAGGGCCTTCCTCCAGCTGTAGTTTAGTACAAATTACCCTTTTATCTAAAAGTTGAGAGATCTTCCTGCTCTCTCCAGTCATTACCAGCAGGCTCTCCGCTCTGGTACCATGCTGAAGTGTAGTGTCGTTTAATTACCAAGTAGAAATTCAAGTTTCCCATTCCTTCAACCATTCCACAGATTTTTTTTCACATTTCCTGGGCTTCCATCTCTTAGAATATAAGCAACTTCTATCTTTATATTAATTTTCTTTGATATTAACTATACTCACAACCCAGCTGAAGAGCAGATTCACAGAAGCAGTGGGCAGTGGCTGTGAAGGTGTATTGAAGCAGAACTGTGTGGCATGGACTCTGCCATTCAATTATATCAAGAGCACAGTGATCACTGTACTATTAGATTAGAGGGGAAAGATGATCTTGGGGTTAAGGCACCGGACTGAGAGTCAGATGATCTTGGATCAGTTTCTGGCTCTGCCACAGACTTTCTCTGTGACCTTGGGCAAGTCACTTAGACCCTTCAACAGGAGTTAGGTACCTAAATAGCTTTGAGGATCTCAGTCTGAATCTCTCCGTGTCTCAGTTTTTCATCTGTAAAATGGAGAAAATAAAACTTTTCTCCAATTATTGTCTGCCTTGTCTATGTGAACTGTAAACATTTTGTTGCAGAGGCTGTTTTTCCTAACTATGTGTACATCAGCTAACACAATGGGGCCCCACTCTCAATTGTGGCTTCTAAATGTGATATAAGTAATAAAAACAAAAACAACAGATTTAACACCTAAGGGGCGATCCCCCTACGGGAACACTCTTTAAACTCTTTTTTGCTATTTAGTCAGATAAAACCAAACCATAAATGTACATCATTCAACTCTAATCTGACATACTGTGAAATTATGTCAGAATACATTTATTAAGCCGTATCAACCCAATACGGATCATATTATCCATTTGTATGTGGGAGTCAGGAAAAAAAAGGCTTCCTGAAAAAGGAATAACTTTGTCTCGGTGTGATGGCAGAGACACCATTTTTTTAAACCCAGTCTATGGTATATAATGACCCGGGAAATGGGCCGGCTCCAGGCACCAGCTTGCTGAGCAGGTGCTTAGGGCGGCCACTCCAGAGAGGGGAGGCAGATCCAGCTATTCGGCGGCAATTCGGCAGACGGTCCCTCACTCCCGCTCGGAGTGAAGGACCTTCCGCCGAATTGCCGCCACAGATCCCGATCCCGACTTTTTATTTTTTATTTTTTTGGCTGCTTGGGGCGGCCAAAACCCTGGAGCCGGCCCTGCCTGGGAATAAATAGCCGTAAAAATAAGCACTAATCTCATCATATAAAACACCAGATAGCTGGCTGAATTTAGCCAGGCACAATTCCCACTGGAGAAATCCCCACTGTAGTAGTAGCTGAATATGATAGGAATGAATTTGATGCACACACTTAGCGCTTGTCTTCATGTACAGCGCTACGGCAGTGCAGCTCTGCCGCTACAGTGCTTTAGTGAAGACGCTCCTATGCTGATGAGAGAACTTCTCCCATTGGAGTAGTTAATCCACCTCCCCGAGAGGCTGTAACTATGTCAGTTGGAGAAGCCCTCCCATTGACATGGCACTGTCTACACAGGGGATTAGGTAGGTATAACCAAGTTGCTCGTGGGTGTGGATTTTTCAAGCCCCAGAGCGACATAGTTATACTGATATAGGTCTGTAGTGCAGACCTGGCCTTAGCTGGCCTCTCTTGTACTACCAAGACCTTGACTTCTTCGCTGTTCTCAGAATTCATGTAGCAAAAGACGTAAAGGATACCACCTTCACAAAACTGATATCGCAACTGGTATTTCTTCATACCTAATTTCTACTGATGAGAGCAATAAAATGGGGGCAGGCACGAACCATGACACGATGTTTGCGGTGTTTGCCCCCTTTTCCAAAACAGAAAATGATTATACACCCCAGCAAGGTTAAAGCGCTTCCACAAATTCAGACTTCTGGAAGGATCAAGAAATATTACTTAAAAACAAAAACAAAAAATCTAGTCAGCAGGGTTTGCTGTCACTGGAACATCTGTGACCAACTGGATCTGCCTTTTCAAGATCTATATTAAACCTTTTAGGGCCCAGTCCAACGCCTATTGACTTCAGTGTGATGTTGGATTGCGCCCACAGCGCGCTTCTACTTTGAAAAGTCTCTATGTAAAAATGGCACCTTCTTGCCCCACATATCTGCTCCCTGCATATATTCAGAGACATAGCTGCTGACTTGAATAACTCAAATAAGTTTTTACTGCTCTTTACTTGTCTTAGCACTCCAGGGCAGCGAACTGAATCGGTGGGAGAGTTAGCTGGATTCTATTCTGGTTTGTGCATCATCAAAATTGTAAATGAAGTCCCAGTTGCAAAGCTAAATTCTGTCCTCAGATACTCCTTTGAACAAAATGATCAGATTGCACAAGCATAACTGAGTGCAGAATTTGGATCACAGAATTTTTATTACCAATGACAATGATGATGTACAAACCAGAAAGAACCCAGATTCACTCACATATACCACACTGACTCTGCAGGGCTAACAGTTAGAATAACCATCTTTTAACCTGTAAATGGAGCAAATTTGATCTCAAATCACTGAAAGACAATGAACATGGAACCTCACAATACCATTTTTTACAGAGTCACTTTTCAGAGCAGAATCAGATTTGAAATAAAAACCTCAACTGATATTTTCACTTATGCCCCTCCCAACCCCGGGGGAACGCCAAACGCACCTCAGCAAAACCTCTCAACACAGTATGGAGAGACCCTCAGGAGGCCAACCCCTACCACACAGAACAACTGCAAGGAAGTTGGAGTAGGGAAACAGAATGGGTTTGTGGGTGGGATGGGGACAGCATGTGCAGCCTCCTGACGCTCTTCCAGGACAGCCTGGTAAGGGAATGGCCACTGGTGAAGCCCCTTCCCATTATTCAGGAGCTCCTCCACCGGACTGGGGAGGTGGTGATGGCTTTGGGAGTGGATGGGCTGAGTGTATTTCTCAGATTCTCTATAACTCCCTCTCCTCCAGTGCACATCACTATACACACACAGAGAGAGGGAAGCTGATGGAGAGGAGCATTCCAGCCTCCTATGGTTTCAATCTCTGAGGAAGCCTCTGAAGTTTCACCAGAGATGATTTTTGGATGAAGCTCTTGTCGCTGTGGGGTCTCTCCCTCGGGTGGGCTTTCAGGTGCTCCACTAGGTCCGACTGCTCGCTGAAGATCTTGTCACAGTCGGTACATTTGTAGGCCCCCTCCCCCGTGTGGTTTCTCTGGTGCGCAGAGAGGTGTGAGATGTGCATGAGGCTCTTCTCGCTGTGGGGCCAAGGGGAGGGCCTCTCCCCCGGGTGGGTTCTCAGGTGCTTGGCCAGGTTTGACTGCTCGCTGAAGCTCTTGCCACAGTGCGGACAGATGTACGGCCTCTCGCCGGTGTGGGTTCTGCAGTGGGTGTTGAGATTGGAGAGCTGGCTGAAGCGTTTCCCGCAGTGGGGACAGGGATAGGGTCTCTCGCCCGTGTGGGTCCGGTGGTGCTTCCTCAGACTCGACTGGTCGCCGAAGCTCTTCCCACAGTCGGCGCAGACGTAGGGCCTCTCCCCCGAATGGGTCCTCAGGTGGGTGGTGACGTTGGAGAGCTGGCTGAAGCGCTTCTCACAGCCAGGACATTTGTAAGGTCTCTCCCCTGTGTGGGTCCGCTGGTGCGTAGTGAGGTGGGATCTATGGATGAAGCTCTTCTCGCAGTGGGGGCAGGGGTAGGGTCTCTCCCCTGTGTGGGTTCTCTGGTGCTTGGCGAAAGTCGATTGGTCGCTGAAGCTCTTCTGGCAGTCAGGGCACACATACGGCCTCTCCCCAGTGTGGGTCCTCAAGTGGGTGGTAAGATTAGACTGGTCACCAAAGCTCTTCTCGCACTGGGGGCAGGTGAAGGGCCTCTCCCCTGTGTGGGTCCTCAGGTGGGTGGTGAGACTGCTCAGGTTACTGAAGCGCCTCTCACACTCAGGGCAGCTGTAGGGCCTCTCCCCTGTGTGGGTTCTCTGGTGTCTAGTGAGGTTCGAGAGGTGGCTGAAGTGTTTCCCACACTCAGGGCAGGAGAAGGGCCTTTCCCCCGTGTGGGTTCTCTGGTGCACAGTGAGATGGGAAAGCCGACTGAAGCTTCTCTCACACTCAGCACAGGGGAAGGGTTTCTCGACTCCATGGACTCTCGCATGTGCCGAGAGCTCCTGCTTTTGCCTGAAGCTTTTCCCACAGGCCCTACATTCATACATTTTCTTTCCCATGTGAATGCTGCTCTTATGGCTATTCAGGTCTCTCTGCCCCTCAAAGCTTTCCTCACACACAGGATATGTGCACGGCTCCTCACTTGTCTCTGACCTCTCTGGCACAGGGGGCTTGCGCAGTTCCCTGAAAGTTCTTTCACGTCTCCTTGTGGTACCTTCCTCATCCCTGGCTGTGTTTCCCTTCTGCTTTTGTGACTTGTGCTGCCCTTTGCAGGTAGCTTCCTGGTCAGGTCTCTGGGAAATTCTCTCTTTTGATTTGCCCAATAACATTCCCAGCAGCTTCAGGTTCTCACAACCTTCTTTGTGATGCTTCTCAGTTCTGCTCAGGATCCCACTACCTGCAGGGAGGAGGAGAAAATCCAGATGTGACCTCCTGTGCTGCTAGTAGAGGGAAACCACTAACCATTCCCAGCAGTACAGTGTGACTGAGGAAGTCCCTCATCCCTCCCCAGGATATTACTCCAGCCGGCACATTATGCAAGTGGCAACATGTTCCAGGGCTGCTACTGGTGCTAGAACAGGTGAAACTGCTTTAAGGGAGAATGAAATATTTCATCATAAACATTGATGAGAGGAGAAAAAGGAAAATGCCCATTTTTTCAAGTGTCCACTAACTTTGGGTGCCCAACTTGAGACTCCTGGGGCCTGATTTTCCAGAAGCCAATTGGAGCCGTGGGGACTCAACACTTCTGAGCATCAAACCTCATCTGCTTGGGTTTTCAATCCCCATTGCAGTGTTTGGGAGCAGCCGAGTTTTGTTGTGAAAGAAAAACTAAAATTAACTCTCAGGATCACTCTCATAGAGACAGCGTAGAACCTCATTCTCTACATGCTCCTGGGGAAGTCTAGAGCCATCAGAAAAGGCTTTGCTTTCTAGACTGGGATCCCAGTTGTCTCAAGGGGAACTTCACTGAGAAAGGAGAGCTCAGTCTCATTTCAATTCCAAAATCTTCATTGATTGTCTAAAAATCTTTGATGGTCTCTCAGTCTCACAGCTTGGTGTCATATGGGATCTCGGGAATACTACTGGCGATGGGGAACTTGAGAATATTGAGGTAAAGGTTTCATATTAGCAATAATTGAACATGGTCTTTAACAGAGCACTCTTTAAAGTGTGACTTCACCTAAGGAGAAGAATTCAATGTGTACAGTGAGTATGAAGCAGCCTGATCATTAGCACTCACTGATTAGTGTTTATGCTGAACAGGGAAGAGTCTCTCAGGATCATGCAATAAGGCGGCAGCCTGGCTTCTCAGCAATGGGAAAGAAACAGTGTTGAAGGCCTAAACATTATAATGCATCATATGACTATTTAAACTGCATTGACTAAGTTAGCAAAGCTACTGGAACTTACTACTACATAGTTCATGTCATACTTTTCCAGTTATGCTGCCATCCCTGATGGAAGTCTTTTGTTCAAAGGGGGATCTGTCGCATGACAATACATGATGTGATACTGGTGGGAGTAGCTACGTGATCTTAGATTCCATTTCTGCGTTAGTGGGAACTGACTGCAAGGGAAAGCTGTCTCTCTTCAAACTAGCTGTGCCTGGCTGCTTCTTCTGGCAACATTCTTTAGGGGAGTTTCCCTCCATGCAGCATGCTCTTAGGGAAGAACTGTGTTGCCTCATATCCTACATGGATCTCTCCACCTAGGGAGCACAACCATGGGACCCTCCCAATGTGATGTTATCTGAATAGTTCAGTGTTTCAGCACGAAAACTGGATGAAAGGAGAAAATCCCTGCCCTAAAACAAATATTAGGGGCTGGGAAAGATGAATATTAAGGCTCCATTCCCCAAATGAAATAATCATGGACGCAGAAAGATTGAGCCAAATTCTTTGCTGGCATAATGCTAATGAAATCAACGGAGTTACACCTTTGACTCACAATGGGTAAGGAGGACTGTGATTTACGAGAGAGATGTAGAGGCTTATCAGGCATTGGCCAAGACACAGTGAATCCTATAAAGGAAATCCAGTTCTGCAGCTTAGAAAGGGTCTCCATCTTGTCACTTCACTTGAGGAAGCTTGGATTATTACTACTCACCTGGGGAGGGGCTTTCAGGAATAGCTCCATCCACTGAGTCCTGAAGATCCACAACCCACAGCTCTGACTCTCTTTGTTCTATTGGAGATATTTGTAGGCCCCTCCCCAAAAAGTTTTGGTTTGGGACTTTTTATAGTCTGTTTGTGGGAAATGAGATCGGGAGACATTATGTTCTGTTGTTGGTCCCAGAGAGCTTGTTACAAAAGTATGTAAATGGTTTTATACCAGTACCCTCTGCTGGAGCAGATGTGTACTTTTAATAAATCCAAACGTGCTAATGGAGGCCCTGAGGACAGGGAAAGGAAGGATGGTCCAGTAGAAGGGCACAAGCCTAGGATCTGGGAGACGTGGGCTCCTGTGTAACCTTGTGCAAGTCACTTAGCCTCTCTGTGCCTCGGTTCCTCCTCTGTACAATGGGGATAATAGCCCTGCCCTGCCCTCATGGAATGTTAGGAGCCTACATACAGTAAAGATTGTGAGGAGCTCAGATACTACACTATTGGAGGGGCATATAAATGCTAAAGAGAGACAGAAAATCCAGATAATTCAGAGTTTACACAGCTCGGAATAAAAGAAAGAAAACTTACATTTACCCAGTGAAGCCAACCTTGTATATTCTTCTCCCTCAGGCATTGATACAGCTCCTTCTGCCATTCCTCTAAAATATCCCTCTTCTCACAGAAGAAACAGACAAGACATCACCATACTTCAGCAGGATCTGAAATCACAAGGATTATAAACTCAGCATCTTTTGCTTCAGTCTCATCCTGACACTTGAAGCCCAAAGTCTCAGCTGGAGAAATGGTCTCTGTGGGAGTAATTCACAGTGATAACCCAAGGACAGCACAGCAGGTATATCTTAGGGGATTTCTCTATCCCCTGGATATTTCATCTGTGATGTGGGTAACTTCAGAGTCCTATAGGACTATGCCCGTTGGTTCCCATGTAGATCTCCGGCAGTGAAATCTGAAGGGCCCTAGATATGCCAGATGAATGAGAGGAAACAGACTCTTTTTGGTACAGACCAAAATTCAACAGTATAACCATGCATGCATGCACCACAACTATGCATACCAACAGAGCATTGCCTGTTGAAATACTGTTTTGCATGCACAGTTCTCAGCTGAATGAGGCTCTCAGTTTTATACATGGTTGTGGGCTTCTGTCGTTTTGAAAATCAGGCCCTTACACGTCAGAATGCATTTAATCTATGCTATGAACTCAGATGCTATGTTACTGTGCACATAACAAAAATCAGTAAATGAATGACATCATATTTCTGCATCAGTATTATTGGCTGAGCAAAGCAAGATCAAAATGGAGGAGAGTGGGGTGGTGGTGCACACATAGAGCCCCTGGCATAGTGCAGAGGTAGAGAATGGGGCACGATGGTATGCAGGGAAGTGGACATGGGGAGGCACACAGAGACCCTGGCATACGCCAGAGGAGTGAGTGGGGGGCACATAGAATCATAGAACTGGAAGGGACCGCGACAAGTCATTGAGTCCAGTCCCCTGCACTCAAGGGAGGACTAAGTATTATCTAGACCATCCTTGACAGGTGTTTGTCTAACCTGCTCTTAAAAATCTCCAATGATGGAGATTCCACCACCTCCCTAGGCAATTTATTTCAGTATTTAACTACTCTGACAGTTAGGAAGTTTTTCCTAATGTTCAACCTAAACCGCCCTTGTTGCAATGTAAGCCCATTGCTTCTTGTCCTATGGAGTCTGTGGCAGAGGGGAATGGGGGGGGGCAGCATGGTGAGAAGGGAAGAAAGGGGGATAACCAGACCCCAGGCATGAGGGAGGGGGTAAAGAGGTTGCAGCGAGTGCCTGAGATAGAGGGGGACGGGAGGGTGGCACACAGGGAGCTTGTGGGGGAAACTGGAGGGATGAAAGAGTCCCTGGTGTGTGCAATGAGCTCGGCCTACACAAGCTACAAAGTCTGCAACCCTCCAGCTACCGTTACTGACACTTTCCCACCCTTGTCTCCCATGAGTCAGGCCTTCCCCTGGCCTGGGAAGCTGCTGGGGACTAGCATTTCCTGTCAGTTCAGCATGAGTAGGGTTACCATACGTCCGGATTTCCCCGGACATGTCCAGCTTTTTAGTACTCAAATCCCCGTCTGGGGGGAAATGCCAAAAAGCCGGACATGTCCGGGGAAATAGGGAGGCAGCATAAGCCAGGGTCCTCCTGGCCCCAGCACGACCCGCCGGGTCTGCAGTGCAGCCCAGCCGCCCGGCTACATTGTAGCGAGCTCGGGCGGGGGAAGGGGGGGGCGCAGCCGCAGAAGGCGGCGAAGGAGCCGCTGCTGCCCCCGGAGGCCGGGCAGACCGCGCGCCCCAGCTGAGCCCGCAGGACTACGAGGAGGCCGGCCCAGCCAACGGCTCGGGCTTCCCTCACGGGCGGGGACTCCCCGGCCACTGGGGGACCCTTCCTGTGGCCCCATCACCCCGCGTGGCAGGAAGGAGGCTGCGGCGCGGGGCAGGGAGTGCGGCGTGTGCCGGGGCTGCAGGGACCCGCGCTACCCCGGTCGCCGCTGAGCATCCGAAGCCCCCGCCAGGCAGAAGCTGCTGGGGGAGCGGGGGAGCTGGGCAGGCGGGGGGTGCAGAGGTTGCAGGGCAAGGAGGGGCAGGCAGGGGCATAGAGGCTGCAGGGGCAGGGGGGGGCAGGAGGAGGGGGGGGCAGGGGGGCCGGGGGCCGGAGGGGGGGGGGGGAAGGGGGCGGGCGGGGGGGGGGGGGGCGGGGCAGGCGGTGGGGTGCAGAGGCTGCAGGGAGAGGAGGAGCAGGGCAGGCAGGGGCATAGAGGCTGCAGGGGCAGGGGCGCAGGGGAAGGGCAGGTGGGGGGTGCAGAGGCTGCAGGGGCGGGGGGGATGCAGGGCCAGTGGGGAGCAGGGGGCACAGAGGCTGCAGGCGGGGGGTGCAGGGGCTGCAGGGCGAGTGGGGAGCAGGGAAGCACTTAGCAACCCCCAACCAAGATCAGAGCAGGAGGGAGGAGGGGGAATGTGGGGTGCTCAGAGGAGGGGGCAGAGTTGGGGCAGGGACTTTGGGGAAAGGGTTGGAATGGGGGTGGGGAAGGGGCAAAGTTGGCCGGGGGCGGGGAAGGGGAGGGGGTGGGGGCAGGACCGGCCCCTGGAGTGTCTTCTTTTTTAAATGTTTGAATATGGTAACCCTACCCACTGGGCCACAGCCACTGCCGATGAGTGACCACACAGTGTGTCGGGGCACAGCCCCACTGCCCCCTCCTGCTT